GCTCGATGGGCTCTCACCTTACAGGGATACAATTTCTCCATTGAGTACCGGCCTGGCAAATCCAACATTGCGGCGGACGCCTTGTCTCGCGCCTCCTTCCTCCCCAGGAAAAAGAGGAAGCGGCGGAGTTGGTCGCTGTTACTAACGAGGAAGTTTTCTGGGGTGTAGTTGCGACCCGGGAACAGCTGCTCAGAGCCCAGCGAGCAGACGATCTGTGCCAGCAAATATCTACGCGGTAAAATCAACCCAGTTCCAGGGGACAGGACATGACTGATGCGCACCCACAGACAACTACGTTCAGAGCAACAATGGCCTTTTACTTCGGTACATACCTCAAGCAGATGAGGGTGACCCTACCATGTCGCCATTCCGCGTAGTCGTGCCGAAAATAATACGACGTGCTTTTATAAGCTACTTTCATGACAGTGTCCTGGCAAGTCACAGTGATGGAAAAAAACCTAACAAAAGCTCTGCCGCATTGCAACCTGGCCTCAAATGAACCGCAATGTATTGCGTTACGCCCGCAGCTGTCCTCAATGCCAGACAGCAAAACCCCAAGGCGGGAAGCCCCTGGGTTTTATGCAGTCGGTTCAGAGTCATCGTCCTTGGGAAATTTTCGCGTGTGATATTACGGGCTTATTTCCACGCAGCCCACAAGGCAACATGTACCTCCTTGTGGCAACCGACCACTTCTCCAAGTGGGTCGACCTTCATCCCCTGCGCCAACTTACATCCAAGAAGATATGGGAAGAACTTCGAGAAACGTTTTCCCGGTTTGGGTATCCTGTTGTCCTTTTAACAAACCAGGCACCTACTACACCAGCACTGTATTTGAAAAGTGTTGTGAGATTCTCAGTATCCAACATAATTGTACTTCCCCTTATCACCCCCAGGCCAATATCACTAAAAGAGTAAATCGCAACCTCCGGGCAATGCTAATTTTGTACACCCGCCGGCGATACGAAGGTGAACGCCGTACCGTCGACTGGTCCCTGCTATCAGCGCCATGACGCGGCTGCCATGGCTGCTTGCTTTCTTATCGCGCGCTTCGCCGAGATTAAGCGCTTGGATCGAGCGCCGATTTAAGATCTGCTGCTTCTCCCTGCAGAAAGCGGGGAAGTGAGTTTTGATTTCCGCATCGCTCATTTATTAAGCAGGTTCCAGCGGAGCCCTAATTTCTAACAAATTATTTTGGCGTGCACTGCGATGTGTTAAGCAATCCACAATAGATTAATAATGATGCTCACTTTGTAATGTGTCTAATCGTCGCAAGTGCGACGTGGATGCTGACACATCACACAATGAAACAATATTGTGTTCTTTTTAAGAAGCGGAAAGTATAAGTTACTTTTTGATTTGTTCCGCAGCCTTCCGGTTTAGCACATATCACAACGAAAAACTACTAAATCACATTGTCTACCGATAGCGTCAGAAAAGCTTCTTCCGCAATCCTCGCGCTTTCTGCGGCGAATAGCAGCAGAGCTGAGAACAACGCTCAATCCAAGCGCTTAATCTCGGCGAAGCGCGCGATAAGAAAGCAAGTCGCCACAGCAGCCGCGTCATGGCGCTGACAGCACGGACCGGTCGACGGTCCGGCGTTCACCTTCATATCGCCGGGGGGTGCACACTAACGAACACCGGGACTGGGACTCTTGTATCCCAGAGATGGCCTTTGCTACCCATACCACAGAAAACCGAACCACAGGATTCACCCCGGCACGATTGAATTATGGTCGGGAGCTAAGAGTACCCATGGAAAACAATATGGAGCTTGCCCCAGATGCTCGCCCGCGCCAATCACATTCAAGATTTGCGCAAAGACTCTCCGATAACATCCGAAATACAGTGACAATGGCCCGGGAGAATATCGAACTAACACAATCACGACAACGAACCCAATATAGTAAATGCCGGAGAAACGACGAATTTTATGTCCGAGATCTGTCCGAGATTCTCCGACGCACTCACCCACTCAGTAACGCCCAGCCAAGGATTTTCCGCTTCACTCGCCAAACAGTGGGACGGGCCATTCGTGGTCGAGACGCGAATTACACGCCTCGCATATTAAATATGGTGCCCCATCACCGGCGCACGCGTCGGACCTGTTAACATCAATGACTTGAACCCTTTTATTGAACGTGGCGAAGAGTGTTGAGAGTTCAGTAACGTCGTCTCCATCTTGTCTAATTCTGCCTCTTCTTGACCTCGACTACCTGCAGCCATGCCACTGGACCGACCGTGGTCACGACCGCGCCATCCAACCCCGCGGCGGTCCTCTTACCACCGGTCGCGCTCCCCCGGCAGCCGCAGTCTTGGCCATCGGCCGCCTCCTCAGCACCCACGGCAACGCCCCCGAACCCATGAGGCTGCGACGTGGTGCATCATGAAGCATCACAGCCTCGTGGGGTTCGCTTCCCGCCTGCGCTGGGACCGACATGTCCACAGGCCCCACAAGGACTGGCGCCGGCCGACTTCCCACCACACCGTCGACCTACACCGACGAAAAGCGTGCCGGGTAATGCGCCCTGTTCCAGGTGCCCATTATAGCGGCGGAGAGTCAACTACACGGGGCGCTCCACACCGAGCGTCGCCAACGACAAGAGAATAATTAACGCAACGGCAGCAACTCGGCCGCTAAAATCCGCCAACGTCGAGGCGGCGCTCATCGTCGTGTCGTGCTCGTGCCCCGAGTGGCTTGGGGCGCCTGACCCGGCAGCACACGCACCCGAAGATGTCATCCTTGACAAGCTTTAATTCGCCTCCCTACCCCCTCCCTCCTGCCCCATCCAGCAAGCCAACGGCCCCGAACGCGGTATAGGACACCGGGCGTGCTCAGACCATAGGATTCCGAGGACGCCGGGAGCACGGATCCCAGCGGACAGGCACAGTCGCTATAGAGCCGCAGGGAGAGGAGCGGCCGGCAGTGTCCTTCTCGAGCAGCCAAGCACATCTCTGTCAACTCCATAGCCATGAGTGGATCGCGCATCCGAGTGGACGTTAACACCAGGACCACAGTGAACGTCTCCCGTTCCAGCGCGGGCGTCCAGAGTCAATACTTTTCAGTCGAAGCTCAGACCACCGAAAGCCAGAGTCTGCTTCCACCATTCTTCCCGCCAGCCGTCGCACCGCTCCAAGCTCTCCGATTCACGCCCTTTCAAATGTCCTTTGGACCGCACGTCCGATACCATTTTTGAGTCCCACCACCATCGTACGGTCCTCCGTTCATCCCGCTACGACCCAGAACATCCGAGCGAAGTCACGCCGCCCGATCCGCCGAAGAGGAACGTCGGGCCGAAAGACGACACCGCGGCACCGAACGTCGCGAGTCAGACGATCATGAACCTGGGGCCGAGTCATTGCAGCCATGAAGGTCGAAGCTACAACCCACCCGACTCGGCTCGGCACTACATCAGAAGTGTGAAGAAAAAGGACGCCTATACGATGTTTGTAAACAGGCCGCTTCACAAGCGCGCGGTCGTACTGTTCGTGTACGGGGCCTGGTTATCGTCCAACTCCGGTGGTCATCACAACTCAGCAGCAACATGGTCGCCCAGGCAACGCTATACAAGCTGGATGCGGGCTTCAAAAAACTCCAGGATCCTTACGACTGCAAGTCGCTGCTCAAGAAGTACCTTACCAAAGATGTCTTCGAAAAGCTCAAGGCTCGCAAGTCCGCCATTGGAGCCACCTTGGTCGACATCATACAGTCCGGCGCGGAGAACCTCGACAGCGACGTCGGCCTGCGCGGCCCGGATGCCAAATTGTACACGATATTCGCCGACCTGTTCAACCCAGTGATCGAGGACTACCACGGCGTTTTCAAGGCGACCGACAGGCACCCGCCCACGGACTTCGGAGACCTCAACACCCTGGTCAACGTGGACCCCGACGACCAGTTTGTCATCTCCACCGGCGTGCGCTGCGGACGCTCGTTGCAGGGCTACCCTTTCAACCTGTGCCTGCCGGAGGCCCAGTGAGCTCGACTCTGCGCACGCTGGGGAGGCGAGCTGAAGGGCACCTACTACCCGCTGACCGGCATGGACAAGAAGACGCAGCAGCAGCTCATCGACGACCACTTCCTCTTCAAAGAGGGCGACTGCTTCCTGCAGGCGGCCATCGCTGCCATCAAAACCAAGCACTCCATTCCCCCCGAGGGGGAGGGGGGGATGTGTGGGGAACGGGAAAAAATTAGAATAAAGAGGACCGACAACGGGGGGCGAGCGGCCGCGCGGGGCAGTCGGAGCTTGAACACCGCGAGGATCGGTGTTCGTTTTATTGTCTCCACATGGTGTACAAGGCATTTTGGGCATCGGTTGTATAGGGACGGCGTCAAATGCAAAGACTATTTTTTTTAATGGGTCGTAACATCAGGGGTTCAAACAGGAATGGATTGTTTCGGGCTACACCCCACTGGAGAGCTTTGTGCGATTGCGCCTGAGCCCTATGTTACATAATTTCAGCATTAGTGCTGTCTTTCTGGTGAGAAGTGAACGTGATATTAGTGGGAGAAAAACGAGATTAGCAGTACTAATTTCACGCACTATGTAGGGCAAAACATTGTCAATTAATAGTTGCACGCATTTTTATATAAAAAAAATGTAGTTCCCGTGTTTTGGACGCGGAAAACATTTTTATACAAAAAAAAAGTTTACGTTCAAAATATAGCTGTTCTGGATTCCTTAAGTCTAGGAGTTTTAACCTCTTAATTACCTACAGCGCATGAGCTTGTCAAACTATTTGCTTCAACTGACACCAGTAGAAGCGACGCTATAAAAAGGAGTGGCGTGCATTTTCACTCAAATACGCCTATGTTTACGCGATGCGTTCCTAAGTCGGCTAGATTGAGTGTTTACCAAGATATGTGTTTTAACATCAAACACAAAACTTCGATAAAAACACTTTCAAACGATCCGAATTATAAGAATTAGGGAGTCGATTTCGATTATCTATGGAAATAACTACTTTTTATTTGATTGTTTTTTATGCCTTCAAAGACTTACACCAAGTCCTTCGAGTCCGCATTTTAACTCTCCGGCATCGCCAAGATAATCCATACAGTCCTCGTAAAGTTTGGCACCAGACAAGGACGCCCCTGAAAAACAAATCGGTATGAATGTACTATAGCTCGCTGGGCGATGTCAGCAGCAGCAGCTCATTTTAGGCCTAAATACAAAAATAAATAATTTGATTTAACTTTGTTTTTTATGTTAATTCAATTCTCCTTTCAACATTACAGTTCATATTTCAGCTATTAGAAGTAGATTTCATTTTGCTGCGTACGTTTGATTTATTGCATTAGAAAGACAATTGTGTAGTTTTTAAATTAATATGTATAAGCACTGACAGTGATGGAAATCATTTTAAGTACATTGTATTTTAATTACTACATTAAGTTGGTTGGAAAAACTGTTACTTTATACGAAGTACAATCTATGGGTATACGCACTTGTGCTTTACTTGGTCTTTCTTTTTTTCTGGCACATTTCTAGGAAAGTACAACCCCCGACTTTAAAGTCCTATCCCCAAATCTGGTCTTGTTAAATGTGTATCACAGAATGATGCGTTGTCAACTCCGAAGAAATACTGGGAGGGATATTCTTTTCTCACCAGAGGCGCGAGCACACGACTCATCGCTCTGTTTGTTCAGGGGGCGGCTTTCCCGTAGCTTCCCGAACTCTCGCTAGATCTCGCGCGGTTAACGCAAGCGAGGAGGTTAAAAAGATTTGGGGAGGACAATTAATCATATTGTAACACACGAGAATGTGGTGCGTAAAAATGAAGAAACTTTGAAGTCGAAGGAAACGACAACAGATAAGAACGTCTCAATGATTTGAGACGTTTTCCTCTGTGGTCTTTTCCTTTAACTTAAAAGTTCCTTAATTTGTCCGCACCACAGTCTCAGGTGTCACAGTATGATTAATTTTCATCAGCTCGCCTGCACAGTCATTGATTTTTCTTTAAAGGGGCCCACCAACAATTTTTTGACCGGTGTGAAGTTCGCGCTGAAACGGAGCTCCATGAAAGCAGGAACACCGAGGAAAAAAAATATTACAGAAATTCGCAATATTTTGTGAGTTATTAGCAAATTAAATATTGCAGAAAACAAATTTAAATAAGCAAAACATTGCGCTTCATGACGTAAAATGAAACAATTTAGCGATTGGAGCAAAGCGGTTGGCCAATTGGATGCGAGTTTAGTTGATAGCCCGTCGGGCCGGTCGGCTCGTCGGTCATTAGGCCTAGCTGCAACCATCGTAGCTTTGGGATCGGGTTGCCATCATCGATTAATTTACCGGGCTTATCGGATTTTGAGTGCGGATCTGGGTGTCGCGCCGTACGAGGAGACTTCACGCAAGCGCCGCAACGCGTCTCTGCCTCAGTCCGCTTCGACAGCCGTGGAAGACTCGTCTCCCGCAACTCCGCCACCGGAGCCACCTCGGCGAGTAGGAGGTACAAACTGGTGAGCGTCCCCGCTGGGCACGATATAAGCTGGGTCCCGTCGCCGCACTTCACTCGAACAGTGAAAAGTCTGTCACAGCACTAAAAGAAAACAAGGGTTCCCCTGGCTCCTCTTACTGCTTTTAGTTGACCGGGACCGAGGGCGCACAAGTGAAAATACGATGCGCGTTGTCTGCACAGATCACTTGTCGTCTGCTCGCGCAGAGCCTCCTAGATAAGTGTACTTATCTTGGAGGCTCTGGCTCGCGGTGGTACGTCGTGGGCGCCGCTGGGAGGCGCGCATGAGCGACAAGGCGTTGTTTTCGCCCTTTTTGAACTTTACTTTGCAACTTTATTAGCTCTATAAAAATGACTTGTTAGAGAAATAACGACGGTTAACGTGTGATATACTTTATTTCGCTTCAAAATTTCTGGGACGGCTCTCGCCAATCACGAAACCCAGAGAATGTGACGTGTAGTGAAAGGAAGCGCCGTTATGCGCGCGCATTCGGCACCTCGCGGCGCCACCGTCGGAGGACGTGTTTCCGAGTTGTCAAATTAAAATATGATGCGCTAATATTTTCAAACTCTTTCGTTGTCCACTGAATTACCGGGACCACTAGCGTGTAGAAACCGCAAAAAAAAGTCGACGCTCAAATACTGTTGGAGGGCCCCTTTAAGGAGAGGACACTCCTTTACGAGAGGATTGCTTGCGGAAGCTATGGGGCTGACGTCATGTTCCCTCCTAGTACGTTTAACGCCCTTGGATGCAACAAGCCAGTGCAACCGGCGCGAAATTCAGAGGTCGAAAAGACTTCTGAATTTGGCGTCATTTCTGAAAATAACGACTCTGTGGCCACTTGGCTTCAATCAGTATTCGCAGCCATTTAAAAAAATAAGTGATACACCCCCGATTACCCCTGGGGCAATGCATACCAGTTAAAATATCACTGTATAGGGGAGGGAAAGGTCGTCATAAAATATTGTGTTATAGAGTACTTTGTGTTTACTTTGAAAGGACGGTCTATTTATTGTATTTTACTTTAAGCACATTGCACCCGGTGTACCTTCCTACTTTACTTAAAATACATCTCCTCTCATATACGTTGTACTTTACTTAAAGTACGTGTTACGCCTACTTTCCCCAACGTTGAGCATTGATTGGTTGGAACCATTTTTTCGCTTCGATCGCTAATATTACTGATGTTATTTTGTACTCGAGATATGTTACTAATGTGTGCTATGCCATACAGAGATTAGATAATCAAATTCCCAAATTTCGTAACCATGTAGCTAATGGCATGATTATTATCGAGGCAAGTATGCCTGTCCAAGCTCCAAAGAAATAGATAATTCGGATATACTAGGTCGTATCAAGAGTGAGGGTTTGTTGCTTTTGGTACACTGATGCCATCTTTTTAGAGCCGCGTTTCTTTGCAAGGTTAGGAAAAAATATGGTTTCCCTTTGCTGCCTGGGTAATGAATGCCTTGAATTGTGGTGGTGTCATTTCTTGTGCTACTTTTTGCGTGGTGCCACTTTCTGTGTTGTGTATGTGGAGGTTTAAAGAGATGGATTTCTGTAGTTTTGTCGCCTATGGTGAATTTCTGGGTTTCATTTCCTTGATTGTGACTTTTTATGTCGCGTGATTTTTTGTGTGTGTTTTTTATTGTGAATGTGCTTTTTTGATATTCGGTATCTCTCAGTCTTGTGACTTTTTTTCTTTGTCAAACATTTCATTCGTATGGGCTTGCTGAATGGTAAGACCGGGGTTGGGGGCTGCTGCCTCGTCAGTTATGTCGTTGTCTTCTTGTGTCGGCCCCTAAGACAACTGTACTACTGGCTGGTTGTCTGAATAAAACTGATTTTATTTGTTATCTAGAGAACTGCTAATCACGTTTATTTTTTAAGTAACTTAGATTCGTTCCCTCATTCCCTGTCTAGATTTCCAAACAATAATACCCTGGGGAGTCACAGGAGCCTTTTGCGACCTCAAGCTCATGCAATTTCTCAAACGAATATATTAAAAAGATTGGCAGTTCAACACTGTGGCGTGTGTCACACTGTTATATGTTACTGCAACACTGACTTGTTCTATTTCATAAGCATATTAGCAACACTTGCTAGTACCTCGTCAGACAACCGTTGCTTGAAATGACTATCGTAGTTCGAAAAAAAAAAAACGATGGCACCAATCTCAGAAAGGACGCTAAAAATTAATTAAGAAAATTAAATCGAGGAAACGTATCTGCAGAAAAGTCACACAGAAAATATAGTTGTTATATTTCTATTTCCTTAATTCTACTTACCGCTTTGAAGTGCTGGTAGAATGAGCATCACGGCGGAAACAGAGAGCTGCATTTTTCTAAATGGCGACATACTCCTGAAAAAGCAACAATCACATAAATATATCCTCAAAACGATCAGCAACGCAACTTCTTCGCAAATATTTTTTTATTCTTTTTTATTTAACAAATCTGTTTAAAAAGAACTTTGAAAGCTACACTTATGCAGTTTGTGTAGGTGAGTTATAAGGTCAGGGGGGCAAAGCATAATAGGCTAATCGTAACAAACATTCTCTTAATTAAATAAAATATGCTAATTAATATTCAATGAGTGAAAATAGACATGTTTCCAATTAGAAAGACGCGCAGCGTCATCGAAAACCCCCAAATCAATTATTTTTACAAATAGTTTGAGCGCGTGGGAAGCGTAGTAGCGCGCTAAAGGTACCACTCGTGAAACAGGTACAATGCGGGGACTATGATAAAAGACAAAAAAATCGTCCGCGCACTTTATGGCACCGTTATTGCGCCTGCTGCACGAGTGGCAACTTTAACGCACTGCTGCTCTTCTGACGCGATCAAAGTCTTCCTAAAAATTACTGATTTGGTGGCTTCCGATGACGCTCAGCAAGTTTCTGATTGGAACCATATGTCTATTTCCACTATTTATGAAAGTAATTTACAAAAATTTCTTAATTAGCCAACTGATTGTCACGATTAGCCACTTGTACTATGCCCCCTGCCCTTATAAATCACCTGCACAAACCGCCTAAGTGTAGTTTTCACGGCTTTTTTTTTAAACATATCTGTTAAGCTTAAAAAACACCCTGTGGAGGCAAAATGTTAAAATCGCTTGATGTGTTGTGTCACAGATGTATGCATATTTTGCGGAAAGTATTGTGTGATGTTCGTTTAATCCGGCATATATGCGAATGTTAGGAACACATACAAAAAATTACATTGCTAATAATAAAAAAAATACGATAACCTTGCAAAAATTAAGAAAACTAATTTTGACAATTATACACCGTTAGCGCCCATGAAAAACCAAATTCACGTGGTTTGAAATCGCTTTTGTGATACAGTAAGTCCGGCTTCACACACAAAACAAGGCAGAAAAAAGCGAAGATGTCCTTGCAATTTTTAATGCAGAAGATTATATGGACAGATAACCGCATGTGCAATCGTTAAAATATTTTTCACACCAGAAAAAAATAAAAACGGGACATAATGAGCTGGGCCTAGTGAAATAAACACCGAACAAAAGTTCGCCGGCAGCATAGTGTTTGCAGGGCTTCCACATATTGCTCTTGTAATTATTTTTTCTGCAAGCGGTGCACTGCAGTCTAGGTCACTTTTTGGGGTTCTGCAAATATCTGAGAAAACCCTTTAGATGTGGTGTTTTAGCAAACAAACTTCGGTGTTAATCTTGAGGAATAATAATGTTTTTAATCGAGAAAATGACAAAAAGAACGGCCGGGATAACAGAACAACATTGCTACTTACACCATCGAATACTGTGCGCCTACAAAAATATACAAAGACGTCTATATTCTATATAAAACTCACGTACCGCTTTCTTGCGCATGAAACTTGAAGCGGCGACTGATTGTCTGAATTGTTGAAGTTCGGTGGCTTATCTATACCCCAGAATGTAGGCGTGTTCCTAGCAACCGGCGATTGCATAAACGTTTTCTCGCCAATGGTTGCTTAGGAAGCAGATAGGAGGAGGAGACAAAAACTGCGACTGTAAACTTGGCCCTTAGACTCAATTCGACGAGCATTGTCCTGCCTTGAGAAGAGAAAACAAAAACTGCATGGAATATGCGATTAAAAATAACCTTCTTACAGCCGTTTGTACCTCCGCGAAGTTCGTTTTACGGTGTTTTCTTTTCAGAATAGAACATTTTTCCCACAAAAGAGCTGTACGATTTTAAAGATGATATTCTACGTTGTATTCACCACATATAGGTGCCGACTATGCTAAGATTTTTTTACAAAATTGTTCGTCCCCACCAGAAAAGTCAGGATGGTCGTCACAATAACACTTTTCACGCTAGACACTAAACTACAAATGTCAAACAGTTGTGCGTTGCTGCTCCAAGGCCCCAAGCAGTGGATACAAAATATTATTGTGGAGAAACTATCCGAATACGCCAGAAACTGGGTATAGACAACTCCTGTAGCGGTTCATTTCACCGGCTTAACATGATATTTTTTAACTACGCAGCGACGAACCTGTACCTGAATGACTGCTGTCAATGCCTGCTGGCTATGCTTGAAGCAGGCGAATCCGCTCTTAGAAAAACCGCGTACTGTCTCAAGTAGATGCAAAGTGAGTCGTATTCGTGTAAGTCTGTAAAGTTACTGCTGGTAGAATTCGTGTTAAAATGAATTAAAGTGGAGGGTTATCGAAGGATTCCATCGCATAAAAGAATGTCTAGACGTATTGCTTTTCTTGAAATCAACTTACCTGGTTTGCTGTGAGCTTAGACGCACAGAACATGTGCTCCAACCCGGAAATCACAAGCATAAAATTCTATCGATTCCAGGTTCTGTTATTAATTGTTATTTGGCTTGTTACAATATTTATATGATGCACTCTTGTAATGTTAACGCTGTTCTGTCTTTGAACACTTTTTAATTAATTCCTCGTCTCTCGTATACGTATATAACATCGATATTTTAACAGGCTTGATATAATATTATTCGGAATACATATCTCTTCCGCTTGATTTGCAAAGAAAAACCAATTCGATGAATCGCCGGTACATAACTTATTGGCATAAGGATATCACAACCAGAAAAATATCTATATATGGAGTTTGTAATGGTTCAATCATCACAAAAATTCACGAAACCATGCAAAATACATTCTGCATTTGTTTCTTGTTTTGCAACTAAGATACAATATAAAAATGACAAATTTTGGAAATTTCTAATGATCCAATCATAACTGAGTTACAAAAAACGAATCAAAATTCATTGTTTTTTATGCTTCTTGAAACTCCGTAAAACATAAATTTCCTTAACCATTGTTTTCGATTTATGTATTCATATTGCAAAATGTATCTTCATTGTCCTGCTATATATTCACTCGTATTTTATTCCCAAACCAGGTGGAACACGTACATATATTTCTCCGGATTACCATCATGTTGCGTCAATGACCATCAAAGAGGCTTGTAGGTGGAGGAGTGACGAGTAATAAACTAATAAATTGCCTAAACTAGCAGTAGTGTGGACACTTCGAGGGTGTACCATAAACGTATCGTAAAAAATTCAAAGAAACCTGAATAAAACATTTGGTTTTAAGGTGAGTACAATTTAGAGCTTTTGGGGCCAGAGGGATGCTGAGCGCGTCATACTACTTGGTAAACCACGCAAATAATCCATGGTGGACTGATATTTATATAAAGCACCCCTCGTTAAATCTACCCCTTCATCATATTTTTTTATTTATTTTGGTTCGAGCCATTTCATATAGTCAGGAATGCTACACGCTGCTCGTAAATAAGGACGTGGTTCAGTTCCCTTATATGTTAAGAACCTTTTTGACTATAAGCAGACAATAGTTAAGGACAGCTATTTAGCGAGTGTACGTTCCTGCATAGGTGACACATTCACTTTTAGCCGGAGGGGAATAACTCTTGGCTTGTCAGCAAACCACCCCTCTTCTTGGATGTAAACACATTTCTAGAGATCAAGCAGCGATAGTGGAAGCGTTGAGGAATTACGTCTGCGATGGCTCTGATAGAAAGAGAGTTCGCGGCATCCTTCATACTGAGCGCTGAAGAGGCGAAGTCAAACCGCGTAGCTGCAAAGAAGTTCGATATTCAGTAGAAGAGTGTGAAGATGCGGACATCATAAAGCCTCTTGATAAAATTCACGCGTCACGTTTCCTACAAGTGTCGACATCTATTGTTTTGTGAACGCACGAAACACGCGACAGGAGTGAGTGCCCCGCCCCCATCCGCTTCCAAGGGCCGCATGAGGCAGGGACCTCATGCATTAGCTCATTGATGACATCAGCAAGACGAACACAAACACATCGAGAGGCTTTAGAACTCATACAAAGCTTCTGAAATAAATGCCTACACAGAATAAAGAAAGATTACTTGCTGTGCCGAAGCCTGAAAAAGGGGATTCAGCGTGCGCTCGCCCACAAAAGACACGAGTCCTCATATGTACAGACAATGCACTAGGTGCCGACTATTCGAGAAAAAGCATCCTAGTCAGAATTCTCCTCTTTGGACTGCATACTGTGCGCCGACTATAGCATTACCCGTAAAATATGGTAGTTATTTGCAAGAATTACTCCTATCTTCTATGACTTTAAACTGGTTTACCAGTTTGCCCTAATTATGACCTACATTCATTACCTTTAAAAGGTAAAGTGCTATCAAAGCTATGCTTACAACCATTTTTTAATTAAAGTATATTTCAAACTAATGTAAAACAAGTGCAGCACATCAATCTTAAATATTTTATAAAGTAACGACCGACCATGGTCGCTGACAACTCAAGAAACGCAGAGTGATGAGTTCCGAAAATCTCATTATCGCTCCTTCACCAATGAGATTGCATGATGAACCACTGCCGCAAAACCAAATATTCTCGCAGAATTCTACAGTGGCACCAAACTGCCAACTCCTGATGCGAATTGATAGCCCGCAGCGACTCTTAGCTACGTCTGACACCTGCTGAAGATGTGTTCCCACACTGATCTACATATCAACAAATTATTTCTTCGTCACCATCGTGCGGTTTGGAAATGACTATTGCTGGGGGTCGACTTTGCGGTTCTTTCTAATATTTTACGTCCCGCCATAAAACGCGCGATTGGCTCACAGAAAATGTATTTTAGATGTCAAGCGGCACTTCATCATTTTAAATTCGTACGTACTATGCAATAGAACAACAGGCGTTGCACGACAAAAAAAAATATATATATATATATATATATTCGAGGACATGCTTGCACCGGCATACTGTTGAAGCGAAAATGTATTGAAGTTAAGTATCCTTAAATGGCACGGTATTTTCTTAATAACAAAAGCATCGACTATGAAGGTGATGAAATTGCGTAGACCG